ATGTTTTATACTTTTTAGCACAAATAATAATTTGTCCTTAAATTTTTCACAAAAATGTTTCGTGTAATTCCCATATTGAGAACCCACTGGTCATCCCAGACAAGGAGTATAACTAATATCATGCAAATTAGATGGCCAGTCTCACATCACTGAATAATGAAACAACAAATAACTGGACAACATAAAAATAATTCCTAGGCTGCTGTTCAGTGAACAGGTTTAATGAATGTACTCAAATACCGAGCAATTCAGAAATCAAGAATGAATCAGAGAAAGACGAGAACATTGAACTTATTGGGTGCTATATTTGTGGTGAATATTTCCACCAGCTGTAGTGGGTATGTTTCTGTCACGAGGCTGATACTGTTCGCTTTGCATTCAGCTCACCACCCTTCCTGAAGCCCAGGAGCCTCTTCTTAATTCCTTCTTTGTTGCCGGGGCTCCTAAAACTGCTTTATGTCTTTTATGCTGTCATATTTACTTGCACTAAAAGGTACTGCAAACCAATTTACAATTATTTATAGCATCACTTTTTACATGTCACCATATTAAAGAGCCTTGTAACGTTTCCATTTTTAACCCTTATTTCAGGTTTTATAAATCCTGCCTGCTTCTAATTACATCAGGCTGAAGACAACAGTATAAATGTTAACCCACAGACTGATTTAGGTAGGCATCTATTTTAAAATATGAGGTATCAGAAAAGGCAGTGATTTTGCATAGTCTCTTTTTTTTTTAATACTAGGTTTTAATTCACAAGACAACACAAAAGCTCTGATTATTTACCCTGTAATGGGAGATAAGTTTAGTGGAATTAATGATACTACAGTATTAAGAAATAGAAAGAACTGGCTAAAATTTGTCAAGGGTTGTCTTTGTTACATTGTCCTTTACTTGAGAACACAAGGGATTTCTTGGAGACATTCAGAGCTAATATACAGAATGAAGAAAAATATTCTTTTCTTTATAAATTATATGATCAGTGACTGCACTGGGGGGTTAATCAAGGCAAACCTTGTGGCTAAGTTACAAATAGGAGCTATCAATTTCATGGTGTATTAGAAGCAGCTATTGCTTTACAAAGTATGGGCCATATCTTTGCCAAGTTAAAATTGGTATCCTTTTATTTTGTGAGTGAAATGCAGGATCTGCTGGTGCCTGGAACAGTAAAACACCGGTGCAAGCTACCTGGAGACCAGGAAATAGCTTTTGTTTGAAGTTTTGAATAGTAAGCTAGACAGTGCTGCCTTTGCTTCATTGTTCACCTACGAAGTCTCCGGGCACATCCCGGAACAAGGGTTGAGCCAGGGATTACCTGAGAGAGTGTGGTCCCTACAAACCCATCAGTCCCAGTGGCTACCTCCAGCAAAGCCGTTGAGAGCTGGCCAGCTTGCTCACTATTATCTTTGCAAGGTTGAGAAGATCAGGGAGTTAACATCCAAGTCAGGATGTTACAGTCCAGGTGAGTAGAGAGCTAGAGAGGTAAAAAATTGGTTCGGTGGTGGGAGTGAGAGGGCACGGCTGTTTGGATGCCAGTGACAGCGAGGTACCGCAGAGGACTGGGTACTCATCCTGTTTAACATCTCTATCAACAACCTGGAGGAGGCAACAGAAGGCACTTCTGTGGGTTTTGCAGATAACACCAAACTGGGCGGACCACTTGATAGGCAGGAGGGCAGGATGGAGGGACAGGCCAGCATAGATGCTAGTCATAGTTGCTAACAAAGCTGTGCTGCCTTATATGAGCAGAAGATGCCATACAAAATGTACAGCTCTTTCTCAGCCTCCTCTAGTTCTCTTGTTTACAGTGCAGCTTTACTTTTTAGTTGTTATATTGCATTTAATCTCTCTTTGCAAGTGAACTACTGGGCATTGACCAGTGCCAACGGCCAGGAAACATCACTCCAGAGAACTATCTTTATTTCAGCTTTCAGTATGTTACTGTTCCTCTTCCTGTCCCTCAGGCCTTGGTAAATCTCATAAAATCCTTTTCAGATTGAAATCCTACTCTTCCCAAGCTGTAACTTGTTTTACAGCATGTATTTCTCTATAGTTGTCTTAGTCTCTTGTTGACAGTCTTTAGGTACCGGTTCCTTGGCTGGTAAATGTCTCCCTTATTCTTAAATTTATCCACTTCGTTTTGTTCAGAGCAGTGTGTGGGGATAATAAATTGGCTCACAAGTACCTGACACTGCTTCTTAGTTCTTTCTGCTGTGCCAGTTTTTCATAATACTGAATCCTAGGGATGTTTTGAAGAAGCCAGCAGCATTTTCCCCACTTACACGTCTCCCAGAAGAGCTGCAAGCTGTCTGGATTTCTCTAGTAAACTCACTCAATGGATGTGCTTGCACAAAAAGTGTTCCAATAGTTTAATAGATTTATTCCAGGATATGATAATAAACAGTTGTTTCAAATGTCAGTTTTAAGGCTTGCAAAATGTAGCTATGTACATGCATAAGATCAGAGCATAAATCAGCTCAGTAAAACAGCTTTGTAAATATTTATGAGCACAGGACTCTTCTTTCACACTTAGTCCTTCTACGTCCTCATCTTATTTTCACTTGCTTTAGTTTATGGCTGGTTGTCTGGGCCGAGTACCTGACATTGGTAAATTGCCACCTGTTTTCTCCAATATTGCCTATACCACAATCCTAAATCTTTATTGACTGCAGGTGAATGTATGGTCTATAGAAAGGAACCTGTTTGCATGGAGGGGCAGATTCTGAATTCTGATGGACTCGTGTGAAGGCACCATATTGCTGAACTGAAGCATAGCCTGGATTTGTCTTTGTGAGCTGCCATCCCTGTGGTGGCTGCAGGCAAGGCAGGACCCAAGTTCCGTTTGTGTTGGTCTTTTGGATGGAGCTGGTTATTCAGGAGGGAGAGAAAAAGGAGAGACTTTAAAGGAGAGACAACCCTGGCTCATTCTCCTGTGGCCGTGATGCCTGCCCCAGGCATCCCTGCATTTTGGTGGCCCAGAGGAGAGGGAATGAATGATCTTTTTGCTCCTTCCTTTGCGGCAGTCACAGGTGAGGGCAGAATTACGCAATCATATAGGTATCTTTCTGCAATTTTTACAAAGTTGTGCTCACCACTCGCATTTGTGTCAACGCTGCAATTTTTATTACTCTTCACTAATTCACACCAAAATCTCTGACTTAGTTGCATTTTCTCCCTATTTAACTGGTAGCAGATAGCACCATGTTAATTGATGTAATAACCAGAAACAAAATCTAAAATTAAACCTACTGATAATTTTCTAGTGTTTGTTTAACCAGATCCTTGAATTTCCTGAGTGGTCAGTTTGGACTCAGATAAGTGCTATCATTTTTCTTCTCTCTTGTCTGCTGGCTTTCCAACCTTTTTGAACTGCAACCCACAGGGTTTGGTGGTGCTTGTGGCAATTCAGGATGGATTAGTCTCATCGAGTAGTTCATTTCTGCTGCTTTGAGAGAGGCTTTGTGAGATCAAGAGCTGTTGCTCCCGAGATCCTGCCAGGCACGCTTCCCATGTGTTTCTGTATGTCTTCACTGAAACTGAGTGACATCAGCAGAAAGGGGTTTTTGTGTGTCAAAACATTTTCCATGATGTTTACACATCTTCATTTTATATTTGTAAGGACAGACAGATACACTGCCATTTAAGCAATTACTTTTATTTAATAGTATTTGCATTTTCATTAGTGAAAAATAATGGAGAAAGATAATTTACTCATTTGCATGCAGGCTTATCAGAAGATTCCTATACATTGTACAAATTTACATCATTTAATGTCTTGTCATGCATTTAATCATACTATTGCAGCTTTAAGTGTCTTTCTGACTGCAGTGGTATCATTCATTAGCAATTCCCTGATGATCATAAGTTTGATGTAAAGACAAAAAAAAATCTTCCAAGAGTAGGTTTTGGGAAGCTTAGTGGCTCTTCTTCCTGCAGTTATGGCAAATTTTGTATTTTTTAAGACACTCCTCAAGCACACCACTGATGTACTTGAGGAAGTAAAATGCTGTTTCATCAAATAGGGCATTTTTCTTCAGTAAGTCATGCTTAAGGCACTTGTGTAGTTAGTCAAAAAAGATCTCAAATCTTTTGCAGGTGACTTACTTAATTTCCAGGTGTGTCCCTTCACCTTGTGTTTCCTGCTGGCCAGTTGCAGGCAAGTCACGTCCACAGCTTTCTGCAGCCCCCAGGTTGCTCTTCCAATCCAGGACACAGGGCTGGGGTGAGACCCAGGTGTTGTGAGCCAAGGGCCAGAGGGATTTGGAAATGCAGAGTGGCCACCATGAAAGCATGGACGTTTCAAGAGCATCTTGAGAGGAATTAATGATGACATTGCTTTCTATCTGCTTCCTAGAAAAAAAAGGGAGCATAATTCTGTTTTTATTAACTCCAGTGGGATTGATGGAAAACTTCTGCTTCTGTGAAATTAATTGAGGAAGAATGGGAGTGTATCCTCACACTAGCAGATACCTTGTTTAGATGCACAAGCCAAGTCTGAGATGCTTCCTTGAACGTGCAGCACCAGTTCTTTCTGCAACAGGGAGCAGCAAGCAAACCCTCAGAAACAGTGGCCTGGATGTTACATACCTGCTTTCCCTGCAGTCCCTCTCCTTCATCTTGGGGGATCCAGGACTGGGTTCCCTGCTGAAGCTTCCTCTTAAAATTATACCTCTCCAGAGACTTGAGATTGTGAACGACCTCTGTTTGCAACACTAAGTACAGTAAATGCTATTGTATTATCCAACAGTAGCGAATTAAATAATCCCACTCCCGTCACTTTCTAACAGGATAATGTTAAAGGCATTCCTCTGAGGTGGAGAGTAATAATTTGCTAATTCCCCTCAGTATTTCATGCTTCTCAGTAGTGCAGCTAATTTTCTCTGAGTACCTTATTAACATTCACAATGACTTTGCAGTCCCACCCTAATAGCTCTCTGCAGAGGCAGTGACTGTGAAGGTGAGAGCTGACAGTGACACATCTTCCTCCTTTTTCTCTGCAGACTGTATTATCCTGGTTTCCATCCACTGAGGGCTGTCCAGCTGATGCGAGTGGGCAAACTGCAGTACAGTCAAGACATGTTTCCTCAAGCGCTGGAGACCTTGAAGCAGGTCAGTAGTATGAACTGTTTCTTCTCTGACCCCCTCTCTCACTTCCCCCAAACCTGTTATGTGTCCCTCCTTTCTGCTCTGACTGTACCTCACGCCTTTGGATACTCCTCACTGCTTTTTTCCATCAGTGGTGTTTCCCCAGGCTGCAGCAGAGTGTGGTGATGGGTCACTGGTGCTCAGCATTTCAGGCACTACTTCCTCCAGTATCAGTCACTGCTAATTACAGTTCGATAGCTCAGAGGTGCCTGGATGAAAAATTACTATTAGATATGAAGAGATAAAAATATCTCAGTGCCTCATACTCTCCTTGTTATTGAAGCAAAGTGAATCTGGGATCACTGAAAGTAAAAGAACAGGAGTAGAGCTGCAGTGCCTATCCTCCTTAGTCCCTATCGGGGATCCGTGATTTCAGATTGGAGAACTTTGCCTTTAATGCTTGGATTTTACTGTGAGCCACACTCAAATCAACAGGGATGCTTCTTGATCCCTCCTATTTCTGTATCATTCATCATTTTTCTCCTCTTTGATCTGGTTTTTGCAGCTGGTGCTTTGCTGGTTACATTTCAGCTTTAAGCCATACCTCTTGTACCTGAGCTGACTTTTAGATTAATTTCCCCCTACCCCAGGCTCTTACTTGTCCTGCTGTTATATTGCTGTTAGGACCATCTTAAATATGTTGAAGAATCCCCTTCCATGTGCAACATGTCCTCAGGACATGGGATCTCACTCGCTTCCCATCTCAAGTCCTCAATCACTACCAGGGTGTTTTTCTCCCCCCTGGAAGATGTGCTGCCTCCAGTTCCCTTCAAAGATGTCTTACGCTTATTCCCTTGTATTATTGATTGTCCTGCGGTCAGCCTGGCCTGACTGTGCCAACATGCTCCGTGCGGTTCCCCCTCTCGTCTCTCGGCCCACCTCCAGCGCCTGACACAGCCTCCTCGTTGCCTTTGCCGGGTGCTGCAGAAAGCCACCTGGCCCAGCTACTTGCCTGTTGCTGTGGGGTGGGAGCGGGCCCCAGCGCTGGCCCCAGTGTTGGAAAGAAGTGCAGAAACTGGCTGTATGTCCCCTTTGTTTAACATCCGTACTATATGAAGAGCTAGTGTTGTGGCAAAGAGTTAGGGCAGCTGCTTGGGATAGAAGGAATGGCTGTCTGCACTGTGGGTTGGGGAGGGAAGTGGTTTTTCCTCCTGCCTGGATCCCCTGTAAAGTTACTATCAGCCACGACTCTCTAGACAACCTAGTACATCTGATTAATTATGCAAGCTGATAATTTCCACATGTTGAAACAATAAATTAGTATTTCATATGATGCCAGTCTTGGTAACTTAAATCTTCACTTGATATATTTAACATAAATTATGGCCAATTCTGATCATTACAAAGCAGATGGAAGAGTAATAAATTCTATTTTCCATGCATCATTCAGAAGTAACTCATATATCTGTCATGTGCCAGGTAATCTGCTCTGCTGTTTCCCCCGTAATATTTATAATTTCCAAACATTCAGACTTTCCTTTTTAGCAGGTGGAGTGAGACCCCAGTTAGAGGAGCTTCTATTTTCATTGATACTGCTGCAATATATCAATTAACATTCTTCTAATTACGTTTCTAATATGATACTGCATTAAATTAAACTGGAGTGAATCCCCCTAGACAGATCTGAATGCTGCTTATCGGTGAAGGTGGAAGTTGTGATGGGATTTTGTATGTTTTTAGTGAAGAAGTTGCCCATTGCAAGACAGATTGCTATTGTATTACCCTTTGAATACTGAGCAATGGCTAACACAGAAACCTTTTTTCAAGCTGTGATCTCCTCTGTCCCTGAAAAGGGAGAATACAGCGCTGCTTACCGTTCTGTGCCATACCCCAGTGCATCTCTAACTGTGGTCTCCAAGCTGTTAGCGGTCCACAAGGACACAGTGAGTGCTTTACAGCTGAGATGCAGAACCATTTACAAACTAATCCTGTTGTGGTTTTGCCTATTCCCCATTCAGCTTCCCCCTTTTCACCCACATGTGTGAGACAGGGAGAGACTGAACTCCCACTCTCTGGGAGTTCAGTCCCACACAGCTGAGAGAAGGAAAAGCTTCTTGGCATCCTGTTTCTCCATGCAACTTGTAAGCGTAGGACATAGTGCTGCTTTGGATGAGATCTGAAACCGATTCCCTTCATTGCCGTCTATGCTGGAACGCATTAGAGCAAGAAATAATTCCCAGTTTGTTGCGAGTAAAGGATGTGATTCCTAATATAACTCAGATAATGTCCTAGAGTTATATGAGAACACAGTTTGGCCCTTTGTGATTAGATGTGTCAACAGAGCATGCCACATGCTCAGAGCAGAAACTCGATTACCTTCTCTGCTTCATTACTCTTCTTAATGCACTCTGACACTGAATAGCACCCTGTTGGAGCCCTCGTCAGACTAATTTCAGTGTGGCATTAAGGAGAAAGATGTGGAAGGTGCAGAGGAATTGAGATCTGACTGAAATTCACCTCACTCATATAAATCCTGTTTAATCAGGCACAGCCTCAGAGCTGCTGGGGATTGACAGCCTCTCTGCATCAGATGCGCAGCCTGTTAAGACCAGTACATCTTCATATGCAGGTCTGCAGCCCAGCCCTTAGCTGCTGCTCTTGGTGCCACCCAAAAATGAATCACTATCATAAGCACCTTACTCTTCGTGTCCTTTGGGTTTAGCTCTCTGCCCTGCACCCCAAAGAAGGCTTAAATAACGTGGAGGGCTTTATGTTAGCCATTAAAGTGAAATCACACCCTAAAAGTATATTAGGCCCTGCAGGATCTAATTTGCCATGCTTTGGAAATAGAAGTGTTGCAGAAAGGCAATACTCCACTTCTGGAATAAAACCTGAAGGGTAGCCCTTGGTTTATTGTACAACCAATGTATTATTTTTAAATTTATATAAATATACATATATATATATATATGAAAGATGTAATGGTGGGAGGACAAATGGAATTACAGATCAGGAAAGCCTTTGTCAGCAAAAGACCAGAGCTGGAGCCCAGTCTGAGAAACCTAATTTAAAGAGCCTGGAATGTCTGTAAAAAGAGGCAATAACAAAAGTTGCAACAAGCTGTCTTGTGAAGAGAAAAGCTTCTTAACTGGGAAGCAGCACTCCTGCAGGAGCTCAGGACAGGTCTGCATCTCTGGAGCTCATGGGAGCCCTTAGCAAGTGTATAGATTTGTCTTGAGGAGCACTCATTAGCATCAATATTTGTTAGGTATCATTTGTTACCTTCACAGCACTGTAAGCTCACCTGTTTGGTTGCCCATAACCTGAGTAGAGCTGGACTTGGTTTGGGAGGACAGGCAGGGTCCAGAGGGGAAGGCTTGGATTCAAGGAGATGACTTCACTTCTGAGTGTCGTCTCCTCGAAGCAAGTTGCTGAGTGCTGCATGTTTTTGCAGCTGCTGCTTCATCCTCTGGGCTGCAGTGATACCCAGCTGCTGAGCGGTGGCTGGTGTGGACAGAGGCAGGCAGGCAGGAGGATGCACACATGTATGACACTAACCAGCCAGTTTCCCCTGTAGACCCTGCACTTGGCTGGCATGGTCGCAGGACCACCTTTGTCCTCCCATGAGCTGATGGGCATGGCTGTCTTGTCTCATGAAGGCCTGCAATAGAATCATAGAATCATTGCGTTGGAAGGGACCTTTAAAGGGCATCTAGTCCAACCCCCCTGCAGTGCGCAGGGACATCGGCAACTCGATCAGGTTGCTCAGAGCCCCGTCCAACCTGACCTGGAATGTTTCCAGGGATGGGGCATCTGCCACCTCTCTGGGCAGCCTGTGCCAGGGTTTCACCACCCTCCTCATTGTGAAAAATTTCTACCTTACATCTAATCTAGTCTAAATCTACACTCTTTTAGTGAAAAAACATTACCCCTTGCCCTATTGCAATAGGTACAATATTATTTCCCTTCTTACTGTAATCCCTGGTGTGGAGGCAAAAAGCCCAGGAACTGGGGTAAAATCCCTCCCAAGTTTCACGGCAACACTGAAGAAATCTCCTTTCTCTAGGTGTTTGCTTCAAATGCTGAATTGTTTGCCAGCTGTGGTTGATAGTAACTGTGACAGTGTTTGGTTTTCCTGTGCCTGCTTTAACAAGTGTCCCCTTCAGTCAAGAGAGATGGAAAAACACAGATACTCTCTCTGAAATACTAGCCCTCACTTCATGCCATTTTGGCACGTGGCCATTTGCTTTCTGCTTTCCCTGAGATGGAATGGTGCCGTCCTGCATCTGCACAGAGTTCCCCGCAGCTGTGGGGATGAGCATCTCATCCCATCCCCATGCAAATCAGGCACAAACGACCGCCCTGCATTTTATTTGCATTCATGGAGCAACAGCCATACCACTACTAGAGTGGGGTTTATATTCTTCAGGGAGGCAGTGTGTGCTTGATGGCACTGTGGCCTGTGTTGCTGTCTTGCGATTACTGTAGTTTTTCATGATTAGATTTGTTATTTTAGCTGAGAGGAAGACCACACAGGCCACAAGACTCTGCTCAGCCTCAACTCTGCTGGTTAGCTGTGCAATTTAGGAGAGCAGAGGAGTGTTCGAGCGCCTGCATATTGCTGCTTCTACCCGGTAAAACAATTCCTTGCTTTGGAGGTGAACTTATCCCCAGTTTTGCACCGACCTTTGCAAAAACAGCTACAGAACTTAACACCAGTTTAATTTGAGGATTACAGAAGCCATTGTTATTCTAACTTCCTTGCAGCTGGTTCCGACTCGTACTGCAACATGTGAGACAGTACATTGCATGAGAATGGTTTTCTCCCTGAGGAAGGATGAGGACTGGGTGCATTTATCTGCCATACTGACAAAAAAAAGGAAATGGAAAGGAAATGTTGGAGGTGAGAGAAAGGTCAGCAATGGTGGCATTATCTCAAGATTAGGTTTGATATTGCCTTTTAACAGAGGCATATCCATGTGGACATCTCTGGCTTTGCACCAAGGTGTCCAAGTCCATCACTGCCTGCCTGACCTCTGTCCTGTAGGTGAGCTGAAGACCGAGGTCGTCTGCCCCAGGACCGTGACTCAGATGTATCCAAATGCACAGCTCAGCACAGGTCATTCACAATAAATTCATCGGCTTTCTTGGCCAGGGCATTCAAACACTGCGCACCAAGTGTGTCTGGATCCATGGCCAATTCACCCGGCCACTTTCCTACAGGGTGATCCTGTCCCTTACTAGTTAGCCTGGGCGCAGCTACGTGTTTCTGCACTGCAATGCCCACAAGATCCTACCTGCAGCTATCCTGCCCTGCACCATCCAGGGATTCCTATACCATGCAAGTGTTCATCTTTCTTCATCCCACTGTCTCTGCCAGGGAAGGACTGCCTCTTATTTTTGCTTTTCACACTACTTTTTCACTTATTTATTAAAAAAAAAAAAAAAGCTCTTGTACAGCTTAATACCTCACACTCCTCTGTGTTGAAATAATTCTATGATCTATTCTTTACAACATTTCCCCAATATGTTATATTAGGAAAAGCGGAACACTAACAACAATTTAGGTAGTCTTTTCAGGAAGTATAATTATGACTTACTTGCAAACATTTTGCAAAAACAGGACCAGTTTTGTATTTCTGCTAAAACAAATATGCAAAAATTGAGGATTTCTGGTTTTATTTTGCATTTCTTAGGCATTTCTAATGGTGATGAAAGCATTTCCATTTTCCTTTTTAACTGAGTATTTTATTATTTAGTAGTAGGGCACTGTGGTACCTCAGAACATATTTGACTCTTTTTAGAGCTCCTTGCACACTCTGATTTATTTTGACTGCTATTTCAACTTGTTCTTTCAATCTTTTGCTGTTTTGCTCTTCTTTTAAGAATTAGCTTATTTGAAGCAAAAATAAACTGTGCTAGAAATTCCGTATGCTTGCCACTCTCTAGAATTTGGAAGTAGGCTTTCATTCATTCCACTCAAAGAATATATTTATTGTTATTTTTATCTTTCCAATTGAAATGAGGCCCCTTCCTCAACATTAGTTTCCAAAAAGATCCTTTTTTCTGCAGTCCAAAACTGATTTAGCTGAACCTTGTCAGTTGACTGGACCAGGAACCCATTGAAACACAGGCTGCATTTAGTTTTTGGCAATTTCTCAGTTTGGGATTGAGGAAAAATCTCTGATGTCTTTTCTCCTACCAGTGCATTTCTAGCTCCCTTGTTCTTTCTTCAGAAGTGCTGAATCCATTTCCATCTGGTACTTCTCTCCTTACAGGAGGAATTTAATAGAAGGAAGAAGCAGAAATGTCATATGAAATGTGGTGATCTAAATATGAGCTGGGCAAAGAGCATTTCAGACATATCTGTGGCAGGAAATCAGCAGCATTACAGGCAGTATCAGCAAGTGTAAATTGGCCTAGGAATAGAAGATGACAAACACACAGAGAAAATAATCCCTGGGAAAAGCAGCAAAAAAAGCCCAGCATCCCCTGCATGACTTTTTAGAGTGAAACTATTAATGTACTCATTTGTTTGATGACATGCATAGTTTTTCCTGATACAAGTTAGGGCACTTTTTTTTCCATTGGTTAAGCATTAATCCATTTCTATTTACGGGACTTTGAGGCCACTAACATAATGAACATCACAGTTGTCTTTTAAATAATGTATCAAATCCTTGGGTGCTGTAGTTGACCAATCTTAAAATGGCCTTCATGCCTCAGTGCAAAAGTATCTCCTCTACTGTTCCAAACATCCATCTGTGTAACGTAGTCATGGGCTTTAACACCTATGAATAATGTGTCAGTGCCTCCTCCTCCATCAGGCAGAAATCATTACACGCTTAGGGATGCTTCACTCCTTTTTCTACTAAGCCATGCATTCAAGCCTCCAGCTGCCAACCACTTCAGGATCAGTACTTATATCCCTGCCCCACCGCAGGGACCAACCCTTTGCACGGTCTGCACAATGACTAACGTGTCCCTTTCTGTTCTCTCCTCAAGGCCTATAATATTATGAAGGTGACCCACGGGACAGATCATAGCCTGATGCAGGCCTTGATGGAGATAAAGGAACAGTGTGAGGCCATCATGAGAATACAGTGAGGATAACCTCTAGTCTGGAAAACGAAATATTCAAGGAGAAAGGAAAACAAATGCTTTTTATTGCATTGGGAAGCTTCTTGATGACTTTGCTGTCTTTTTATTAGGTCCTACTTGCTTTACAAAAATGTTTAGTATTTATTAGTTTTGCTGTATGATCTGAATTGAGTTGATGTTTGGAGGAACACCTGCAATTTTCAGAGGATTTTTTTTCCTACCAAACAATCTAATTGACAATACCTAATTATCAATTTACAACACCTAATTCAATTGATAATAAGTATTGGGAAATTCATACAGAGTCTTCATGAGTTACAGAGTGATATAATTCTATTGATATCAGCAGTCAATTTTTTGTACCAGTTTATGCCATTAATTAAACCAGCAATTAAGGATCTCATGTCAGACACACTGTAAGTAGAGAGAATATATTTTTTCCATTTGTCTTGTCCTTAGGTGTGGTTTCTGAAAGCCTGATCCAGTGTTCTCTGACATAAAATAAGTTTCCTAATGTTCTAAATGAGATTTTCCTTCCTCACAATATATCTGCAGGGCTCTGTCCCCCTCCTTCTTGCATTTTGTATGTTGTAATATTGAATATTAAAATAGACTGAATAAAAATTTAATCAAAATTGTATCTATGCGGAAATTGCTTACTCTGTTTTCTCCCCATTTTATCTGCTTCAGGACTTTCTCACTTCATACCAGTCTTAAAAAGAGAGAGATTTGGACCTGTGAACTCAGTGGTGAGGTGCAGTTTCTAGACCTTTCTTGAGCCTGTGGGGTTTGGATTTCACTTCCCCAAATAGTGAAGCTCTGAGACCTGCAGATGACCGCTGAATTAGGAGGTCATCCTTGGGGAAGAGAAGGATGTCTTGGAAAACCTATTTGGCTTGGGCTCCCTATTTCCCTGCACTCATCAGCGAGACAGTTGTTCTGGCCAGAGCTGCTGACTTCCTTCACACAGAACAACAGAAACAAATGTTAACTAAAGCCAAATATTTATGAGGAACATTGAAACCTAAACAATTTAAGGCCTTTGAAAGTATCACTTCAGGTGTGTCACTCCTCTCTTAACAATTTATTGCTGCTACTCCAGCCATGACTGTTATTTCATTAATCCATCATTGTTGTAAAGTCAGGCTTTTTTCACACCAGTAACTTGACACCATTAATTATTACAAGATGAGAACACATTTTAAAAGAAAATGAACACTCTGGGCGTAATTTACAGCCACAGCACATGAATGCCAGCGCTGAGGAAGATATCTCCTTTCAAGGCGTTTGAATTTGTTCCAGTGTATGGAGCGTTCACTTGCCCGGCAGTAATATGCAAGCAATAACCTATGAAATGCAGTGCATTTCTGGAGTACGTAGCATGGCTTGATGCCAGAGGCCAAGTCATATCAGCCACCCAAGAAGTGCAATAATCCTGGCAGAAATTCACTGCTTGGTTGGGTCTTCTTGCTATTATGAAAAGGAAATTATCTGGGGGAAAAGGTCAGACCTTTGCATTTATTGGGATTTCTCACAAAGTAATGGCATCACTGATGGACAACCAGAAAATGTGAGGGGTACCCAGTCTTCAAGAGATATTTTCTAGATTTAAAGGAGCACACGCATATTAGAATTTATGTCTTTTTGCGTAAAGATGACGCTTATGTTATCTCACAATTACATATCTAGTACTAAGCTTTGAAAATGGAAGGGGCTTCAGAACGTAAGGTAAGCTGATGCATTAGTTGATGCAGCATATACTGGGAGACGGCCCGCCAGCTCTCATGTACGCAGACACGTCTGTATGTGTGAACTGCAGCGCTGTTTTCTGGGGCTTCTTGTACAGTGGGGACACCTCAACTCTCCACGGGCAATAGCAGGGAAAGGTGGGCACGAGGGGACGGGCAGTCACCTGATGTCAGGTGAGAAAGGCCACATCACATTACATCAAGCTGAAGGATCTACCTACACTGGTATTTTCTTACAGCAGATGCTTAGGGAAAATGTACAAGAGAAGCCGTTCAGCGACTGTTGGGAAATGGAGGACGAGCGTGCTACGTTGGCTGCAGAAGAGCACCACGGCAGTAAGTAAGTGTGCTGCCACGCACACAGGGCTGTAGGGAATTGGTCTGGAGCCCACGGAGCGATGCAAGAAACCACATTGGCCCCAGGTTGGTCTGTGGCTCAGGTTTCTGGCGCAGGGTCCTGAGGGCACCGCTGCACTGCCAGCTCTGCCTGGCCTTCTTCTCTGGGCTGGTCGGTGGAGGTTGCTTAGTACAGGAGTACATGATTCATGAGAGCATGATTCATGCTTTATGCTCATTACTGTTGATGCAAAACTCGCGTTTCTGTCAGCTTGGTCAAAGAAAGAGAGAAGTTTTCTGGTTGGTTCCAATCATTTACTGAGCAGCTTCCCTTGGAGATTCACATGTACTACCACCACCAGCAGGGCTGCTGATGCTGCAGGGGAGGTAGTTGCAGGCGGATTTTTCTCTCCCAGTGGTCCCACTCCAGCCTGTTTTCTGAAAAAAAAGCTGGCTGGTGACAGCGGAGAGATTTAGTTAAATGCATCATTTGAAAGTGCGGTAGTAAGCAAGTGTGCCAGCGAGGAAGGAACACTAGATAAGCACTCATTTCAAATCAAGTAATCTTATTTTTTCAGCTCAGACTTAAAGTAGCTGGAGTTGTCTTTGCACAGACATCATGTTTTGATCTTCACGAATAATATCTGTCAAATTTTTCAGGTGGTATCAGCTTGCTAAGATAAAGATGCTAAAGTTGGAAATCCGAGACAGACTGCAACATTATCTGTAATGCTGGCAGGCTTGCTGCTTGCTTCTAGCAGGTCAGAGACTCTTCCAGTGCCTTTTGGAAAACAATGGTAATCTGGGTTCACCTCAAGCTTTAGGAACACATTTTGAGTTACTTTTGATTTGTCATTATCCCTTAAATTAATCCAGGAGCAACAACGTTATGTTGTACTTAGAGGGAGTTGAACTGCATTGTTGTATGTGTTTGGAAGAAAAGCAGTACCAACACACAGGAGACAAACATGGGGGATTATACAGTTTTGCTAAGAATAATTGAATCCAGTTGAACAAAACAGCTGCTGCCTTAAAAAAAAAAAAGTTCTCTAAAATCTGCTGTTTCTTTAAGCATGTAATTGTCTGTATCCATACCCCTCAGGGTGTGCTGACCTGATGTTGGAAGTAAAAACTCTCTGGGCCCTTAGCAAACAGAACTTGCAGTGTATAGCAGAGGTGGTAGAAAATAAAAGAAATGCAGTGAGAGAAGAATGCAGTGAACCAATTTTTTAGAGCTTTGATGTCCTTGAGTCTATCAACCTATGTGTGGAGTCTATCGTGCATGGGTCTATGCCAACAAAACTCGCCCACTACTCAGCCCTTTCTGTCTCTCACTGTAACCCTGTTCTCTGATGGCTAGGTTTTAAACTAGCTTTCTTAGACTTTTTTTTTTTTTTTTTTTTTTTTACATAGCACATTCATGAAATACAGAGGCTATTTCTCCGCACAATGTATTCCAAATGGTCCCTGGACACTGCAAGGCTCTTAATGAACAGAGTCCTTTTTTTCACCAAGGTTGTGCCAATTATGAGGATTTTTTTTTCCCCTGATTCAGAATTAAATCTCCCATAAGACAAGGCGAAGAAGGAAAGTCTTAGAGTTACGGACATGGAGTTATGGCTTGGTTTCTCTGCTGCACCAAAAACTCTGTCTGACCTTGGGCAAATCAGCCAGGGTTAGACAGATGTCCATAGTTGGGCTTTGTCATTGTTGATCCTTGGGAAATTTCTCTTCACCATAAAAAAAAAAAGAAAAAAGGAACTGGATATGACACTCTCCATAGGTCTGCCTCTCTATCTCCCTACCTATAAGGCCTTAAAGAGTCTATATGCATTCCCTTACTGCATTATTTGTAGGACAGTAGGAGAGCTATATGCAGAAAATGTAGTTCTCAAAATACTTCTGATTACTTTAACAAGGAGGCTAAGTATTATTTCACAGCTGAGGAAAAGGAGGCCCACAGATAAGTGACTCTCAACAGGCTTGGGTTCAGGCAGTGGCACGATGGCAAACAGCCCTGCGGTGTGTGGGTCAGTGCCTTCTCCCACAGAAAAAGGTGTTAATGAGAGCAGCAAACTCAGCGATGGTGTTGCAGAGAAGCCCCCCCAAACAAAATAAAAAAGTTACAGAAACTACTAATTAGGGGAGAAATATTTGGCCAGCCTAGCTTTTGGGGAAGGTCAGCAAACAGCTGGTCGCCATGTTAATTTACAAACATTAGTCACGTCCCACATGAACATGTCCAGACTGGTGACAGAGCTGCAGCTACGTAAAATGTCTCCATTCCAGTCCTGCCATATTCCTGATTGCGGGATGCGCAGGATGCACGGGATGGAATGGCATCATCGTACTTTCTTGGGGTAAGTGCAGGTGTATGGCCTGAGAGTTCCTCCACAGCTGAGGTGCCCCACGTGGGCAGAGTGCTGCGAGCTGCCCTTGCCTAAGCTGTACCTCCTCCACGTAGACAAAGCTCTGGTCCCCACGCACAGCACTTCAGCAAAATCTAAAGAACAGTCAAAAAATCCCAAGCAAATGCTTTTGGGCATTTCAGACCAAAGCCACGTTAGAGTTCCTCTTTTTTTTTTTTCCCCCCTCCCTTCTTTTTAAGTGGCTACTTTCTCTTTCCTATCAATGTACATTTTCCTATACAAAAGTCCTTTTCTTTTTCGTTTATGATTTTTACAAAGTTAATCAGCCTGAAAATACATTTGAGGTGGCTGTTTTGTAAAATGCTCCCTGCAAGAACATGTAAGTGTGTATTTTTCCTGCCCTAAGCATAGAGCGTACCTTACATGAAAGTCTCCAGTCTGCTATTCTTGCCATTCAGCACAGTGGTTTCTGTTTATCCCCACAACAGTGATGTGTAAGCAAGCCATGCCTATATGACCCCCATTAGTATTTCGTGGTGAAAGTTCAATGTTTTTATTTGCTCTGCACTTGTGATCAACACAGACAAATCAATTC